TTTTCCCAGTTGCCATGTTTGGTGGCTTTATATCCCCTTGCTCCTTGGTACTCAAGAATATTTGTCATATCACCTTTACTGCTTAAGAAAGTATCTTAAACAAGGAATGTTTTATTTTAATATAGCTTGGGTGTGTATGGTTTTCATTACACTTTGGTGGGGGCAGGGTACCGGGGATTGAACCCAGGGGCACTCAACCTTTGAACCACATCTCCAGTTCTATTTTGTATGTTATGTAGAGGCAGGGTCACATTGAGTTTCTAAGCACTAGCTAAATTGCTGAGGCTAGCTTTGAACACAAGATCCTCCTGTCTCTGCCTCTTGAGCCCCTTTGCATTATAGGCTTGGAATTACCAGGCCGGGACTCCATTACATTTTAATAACTTGATTGAAGTATAATTTACATACCATGAAATCCAGTCATTTGAATGATCAATTCAGGATTTTCAAAATGTATTTTTAAGGTTTCATTAAAATTAAAGAGTTAGTAGCTGAGTCTTATATAAATTTTATTTTTAAGTTACTATTACTATCATATTTCTAGAGAAGTAATTCTACTTAAAATGAAATTGGTTTTAACACATTTCACATGCTCCTCTTTTATATTATTTTTCTTTTTGTCATAGAATAGTTTTCTGTTTTAAATTGTTAACATTCCTTTCCCTTTAATTTTCAGAGAAGGATTGCTTACCTTCTGGAACACCTGCAGTAAGTTGATGATGTATTTCTTATAGTTCTTGGTCTGACTAAGCTTACCAAAAGAAATCTGTTTTTCATTTTTTTAATTTCTAAAATAAAAGGTAGGGCTGGGGTTGTGGCTCAGTGGTAGTGTGCTTGCCTGGCGTGCATGAGGCACTGGGTTCGATTCTCAGCACCACATACATAAAATAAAATAAGGGTTCATCAACAACTTAAAAAAATGTTTAAAAAATAAAATGAGGTAAAGAAATATTTAATGTTTGTAAATAGCACTCCAGAATATTTATCATAATGTTTATTTACTTTTCCATATTTCAGAAAATCATCTTTAATTTTAATTGAATACATTGTAACAAGTGAGGTTTAATCATTTAAAAATTAGCTATGGAAAAAATAACTTCTTAAAGTTTGTTTAATAAAAGGAGACCTGGTCACATTTTAAACTTTGACTTTTCCTTGCTTGTCTTCCTTTGCTCCTGAACACAGCTGAACACCAAGGAGCAGGAAACATCAGCAATAGTAATGGAGGAAGGTGATGGTGATGGAGAGGTGCAACCTTTCACTGTCCCATGACATGGCCATACAAGACCAGTGAGTGACTAATGACCTGGTGTTCACATCTGTGCATGTGTGTTGGAAAAACTACTGTTCACATTTGACTTTCAGAGATAATTTCAAAAAGCTTCAAGTTTAAAACATTTTACTATGAGAAGATTAATTTAAGATTAAAGTTTTTACCTAAAGAGTTCTCATCAAAAACCACTTTTTGAAAAATAAAAATTGATTGCTTCTTTAAAAGTTAGAATACTTAACTCACTGTTTTTTTCTTTCCATGTTTTGTCCTCTTTTCCAGAGAGGTCATCTATTGCTCTGTTTTTTCTCTGTTTCATAATGTGGGTAACTCTTCTACCTATAACTTAGAAATTTCCTCTTCCCCATCTTATGTACTTTATTTCTCATTTTGACATTTCTCTCAAAGCCTTGATAGCATTCTAAAGACAGTTGAGAGTGAAATTCCTCCCCAGCTGAGGAGAATTTCAACAGTAAGGAGCTCAGGTGGAGCCAGGGAGAGAAGTACTAAGGGGGCTGGACTGTGATGTGGTGGCTCTGAGGACCGCCATTGGATTCCCATCTCATGACAGAAGGCTGTGTTTTCTATATATTACTTACACCTGGCTCTTTGAAGTGAAAAGGAGGGAGTAGCCATTATATTTTTGTTAAATATTTTGAGACTTGATTAATGATAGATTATTTTAGTGGAAACTACCACAGTAAAACATAAAGATAGAAATGAAAACTTTAAATATTATAGCATCAGTGAGCTGTGAGACAGTTTCAAGGGTTTTCATGATGTGTAATGAATTTCTGATAGAAAAAATAACCTAGAAATGTATCTCCCAAAAGCTAAATAATAGCTTCCTGAAATAAAGTCAAAAGTACTTCTACCTATCTGAATAAATAAATGTCTGTCTGTTATAAAAGTATCTTTAAAAGATAAAACCATTTAAATAAAAATAGTAACAGTGGAGGCAGGAGGTATGCATACATAAAATGACAATAAGAGCATCCGGGCCAAGAACAACCACCCTAAGATTCTTGTCCTGTGTGACATGGTGTGTCATGTGATGGTCGAGTGTGATCATTGAAAGATACAAACATTCAATAATAAGATGGAGTCTTACCTAATCACTAAGGAAAGAAAGAATAAAAAAGTGAAGAATGAGAAATGGAGCAACAGGAATGCTCCTGCATTGCTAATGGGAGGCTCCTCTCCAGAAGAGGGTTTTTTCAGTTTCCCACAAAATGAAACACGACCTTACCACATAACCCAACAATGTGTTTCTAGGTATTTGCCCCCATGCATTGAGATGTGCCCACATATAAACCTGTGCAAAATTTTTATAGCATCTTTATTCATATTTGCTAAATCTATAACAAGATGTGTTTCAAAAAGTGAATGTGAGGACTATGTGCAGTTCAGTGATAGAGCACATGCCTAGCCTGCTGAGGCCCTGGATTCCATCCCCAGCACCACAATATAAACAAAAGAAATCCAATGTATGTGCTACATCCATACAGTAGAATAGTATTCATGGATAAAAACTGAGATACCATAACACCAAAAGGCATGAAAGAATTTTATCTTATCTATTTATTTATGACAGGAAAATAACTTGTATAATTGACTACATGCCTATGGTGTGGGCATATTATTCTCTGAAAGATCTTTAAGAGCATAGTGCTTAGTGGTGGCCTTCCATCTAAAGGGGCTAGATGCTCTCCAATTCCAAGTGTAGTGTGTGGGCTAGAAGTGTTCATCCATGCTAGGGTACTTGCCTAGCATGTAAGTTTAGGACATCTCAAATATGAGGAGTTTTAAAAAATCATTGATTGCAGGGATTCAGGGGTGTGAAGAGAATGAGTAGTAGGTTTTTAGGGCAGTGAATTTATTCAGTATGATGTTATAATGGTAGATACACAGGACAATATTCATTTTTGAAATCCCATAGAATTATATAATCCAATACAAAGAGTGAACTCTAATGTCAAGTGTTAGCTTTGGATTAATAGAAGTACATCCGTATTTGTTCATTTGTGGTAGAGTGCTTGCCCGACATATATGAGTCCCCATGGTTCAAGCCCCAGCACCTCCAAAAAACAACAAAAGTGTATTAATATATAGATATGTATCCACAATAGATATCATTGTAGTAAGTACACTGCACTGTAATGCAAGATATCAATAAGAAAATTAGGGGCCAACCTGGGAACATTTCAGGATCCACATTTTAAGACCTAGTATGCATTTGGAAAAAGCATTTGCAAGGCTATCTAGTTGTCTTTTCAGTTTTGGAGATGGTCATCGGGATCCCTTAAGTGTTATTCCTGTGTCAGAGGCAACTTAGGGAGGGTCCCTATTGTCTGCTCACTTTTTAAACCTAAAATTTATACTAAAAAATCCATTAATTAGAAATAATTTCACTTCTAGAAACTTAAAGGTAATAATCAAAAATTAAAGAATACAAAGATTTTATAAAGGGGATTGGTTAAATTATGAAAACACCCATATTAAGGCACTATTCAATTTAGCCATTAGAATCATTTTATGGTCAGTTCTTAGGAATGATGTAACTGGCATATAGCTTTTGAAAGAAGAGAGTGTCAGTATATCCAAATCATTTTGAAATATGACTTTTAAAAATCTTGTGAAGTTTTAACAGGATAGTCCATATTGATAGAAGGATTGTCATCATTTTTCTTAATACTTTTATGCATCCCAGGTTGATTTTCTTTTCTTTAAGCAAATGTATTGTATTTATACTTAACCCAGAAAAGAGGAAGCTGCCAGGCCTGGGGGCACACACCTGTAATCTCATCTTCCGGAGAGGCTCAGGCAGGAGGATCTCAAATTGGAGCCTGCCTGGGCAACTTAGAGATACCCTGTCTCCAAATAAAATGAAAAGAGGGCTGGTGTATAGCTCAGTGGTAGAGCACTTATTTGCCTAGCATATTTCTGGGTTCAGTTCCTGCACCACCTCCTACAAAGAAAGGGCAGTGGTGGGGGGAGTTGGTGAAAAAAGAATTGAGGGAGGAAAGGAGGGAAATTGAAGAAGGAGGAGGAGGAGGAAGAAGAGGAGGAGGAGGAGAAGGAAGAGGAGGAGGAGGAGGAGGAGAAACAATAAAGGAAGGGGAAGGCGGGAGGATACAAAATTCAAGCAGGAAGAGATAATGATAACCTTATTTTATTCACTGTAGTATTTATAGTGATTTTCTTTGTAGAATGCAGAGGGGCTAGAGATGTTGTTCAGTGGTAGAGTGCTTTCCCAGCATGCACAAGGCCCTGAGTTTGGTTCTAACACCACACACACAGACACACACACACACACACACACACACACACACACACACACATACTCAAAATAGTTCCGTTAACTTGATAAATTATATCATAACTTGTTGAGCTACCTTAAAAATGTCATAAATGCTATACTCAATGGTTGCACACCTGTGATCCCAGTGACTGGGGAGGCTAAAGAGGGAGGATCACAAGTTTAAGGCCAGCCTTAAGAAGTTGGGGAGACCCTATCTGAAAAATTAAAAAGAAGGGTTAGGGATGTAGTTCACTGGTAAAGCCACCCTGGGTTCAATCAAATATCGTGTCCTTTTGATGCTGGTATGAGTGTATTAATGGGCTGTTTAACTGTTGACTTTTAGAATTTAGAACAATTAAAAACAACTGTTTTCCAAACAGCTTATAAAAGTTATGGTTGTGACTAAGAGAGGTTTGGGGCAGGTATTAAAATATGGGTTGTTTAAGTCAATTGTATTCATAAGTAGTCTTCAGGCCTTAGTTGAAAAAACATAAAACGTTTTGCTTCTAAATTATGCACTTTTTATTTTCTCTTTGCAGTACCCACTCCCGGACATGGTGAAATGGCTCACAAGTTAATGCCTCACATCTTGGCAGCCAAGGAGGTTCTCCAGAAAAACTATGACTGGCATCCTACTCTTTTAATTTTCTGGAAATGAAAATGTTAAAAATTTTAATCATTAAAGTGTTCATTGTTTTAAAGGACTGGTACCATTAAATTCGCCATTTTAGCCCTGTTAAGTGGACAACTCAGAGGCATTAATTACACTCACAATATTGTACAACCTTCTGTTTCCCAGAACAGTTTTGTCCCTCCAAACAGAAGCTCTGCTACCATGTAAGTAAGAACTCACATTCCTCCTCCTCCACCCCTGGCTGCCACCATTCTTTTTTTAAAATTTGTTCTAATTAGTTATACATGGCAGTTGAAGGCACTTTGGCACATCATACACAAATAGAGTATAGCTTCTCATGTTTCTGGTTGTACGTGATGTAGAATCACATCAGTCATGTGGTCACACATGCACCTGGGGTAATAATGTCTACTCTTCTTCCTACTCCATACCTGGCTCCCCTCCTTTACCTCTCCTCTGCCTAATACAGAGTAACTTTATTCTTCCATAGCCACGCTCCTTATTGTGAATCAGTGTCAAAATATCAGAGAAAACATTTAAACTGTGGTTTTTGGAATTGGCCTATTTTGCTTACTATGATATTCTCTACTTCCTCTCATTTCCTGGCAGATGCCATGACTTTGTTTTTCTTTAAAACTGAGTAATATTCCATTGTGCATATTGACCACATTTTATTTATCTGTTCCTCTGTTGAAGGACACCTAGGTTGGTTCCATAGTAAAACTCTTGTGAGTTGAGCTACTTTATAGCATTGATGTGGCTGCATCACTGTCGTATGCTGATTTTAAGTCCATTGGAAATAGACTGAGAAGTGTGATAACTGGGTCAAATGGTGGTTTCATTCCAAGTTTTCTTATGAATATCCATACTGCTTTCCATGATGGTTACATCAATTTGCAGTTCTACCAGCAATCTATGAGTGTGTCTTTTCCCCCACATCCTCACCAACATTTATTTTTGCTTGTCTTCTTGATAATTGCCATTCTGACTGCAGATGAAATCTGAGAGTAGTTTTGATTTGTATTTCTTTTTCTTTTTTTTTTAAA